GTCGAACAGAACCTTTAAGGACTCTGGGTATTTCCGAAACTACAGACAAAAGCGTATATAAGCTTGCCTGAGGGTGTACGCTGATGGGTTTGTACTTGATTTCTTCTGTAGGTGATTTGTCGTAGAACTGCGAGAGAAATCCCGAGTCTGTTGACCAAAAAAGCCTAAAAAAGAAAATAATTATAGAAAGATTCTCGAATCAATAACGAGAGTAAAATAGCGAATGAACTACAAGTCAAATGATTAACATATGATATCAAGGCTATTTTAATTACTAGTATTTCAATAAAACAACACTTACAAGGGAAAAAAAGGTATTAAGATGAGTTTCTAGCTAAAGTTTTTGAAAATATTCTGCGAAATGAATCACCATCAATAATTATGTTATAAGTCATGAGATAATTGCTTATCACATCGAGGTAGAATCATTTTATATCAGAGTATAGAAATGTATGAAATTCGGGGAGCTGCATTTAGAAAATGATCAAATTCTGTTATTTCCAATGAACACACAAATATATAGCATATTTAAACATACCGAATATCCGGAATGCCATACAATATCATGGCTAGCCGCTCAAGTCCGAGGCCAAAAGCCCAACCAGCTTGATCCCGAACACCAGCTGATTCTAACAGTTTCTGCTCCATAATTCCACAACCCAGCACTTCCATCCATTTGTCTTCGTAAAACACCTACAACCATTGTGCGTAAAGGAAATGGTAAATAATAAATATTACAGAGAAACGCAAACCTACTTCTAATTCAAAGGAGGGATGCGTGAATGGAAAGTAGGCTTCCACCCATCGCTTCTCACATGAGCTTCCAAATAGCGCATCGCTGAGGCCCTTCACATGATTATTTGAATCAGATATTGAATTTGAGCACAATAATTCGCACCTCAAGAGTAGTTTTCAACTGTATTTCAAGCGCTTTTGATGCATCCAGGGTATGCCGTTCTTGCTTTTCAGGAGTTCTTTCACCTTTTTCAAAAATAGGCACTTTATTTTCATAAGAAGTATTGAAAAGTTGAGTTGGTGAGAATAAGCGAACACCCTCGAGCTAAAACTAGTTAAACAATCTCAACGGAAAAGATAATCATAAATATAGGAGAAAAAACTAGAAATGGAAACAGCAGAGCACTGTTTACCTGATGGAAACATGGATAGTGCGTACGATCCACTTCATCACGTCGATATACGTCTCCAACGACAAGAAAAGCATCTAATCCTTCTTTCATAAGCTGATACTGATGGGCGGAAGTGTGCGCTCGGAGGCAGTGGGTCTTGTTGATGTAATAGGTATCAGACGGCCTCCTTTAAAGATGACAAAATTTTCTTCAAATTGTGCTATATTTGAAAGTATTTTTAGGTATCTCTCCGTAATCTTAAAAACCATTTTTCAAAAAAAAAATCCTGTGTTGCAATACTAGGTCATGCAACCTGACCAAAAATTACCATTAAATTAAGGTCAATAAGCATACAAGCTTAAACGCTTAAGTCCTGAGGAGCAGTCTAAGGGAATGGATCAAGATAACGGATAAGTGCCGATGATTACCTTGAAACGTGGTCCAGAGGTGTGAGAAGTGAGTCAAAATTCTCAAAAGTCGTTACAATTCGTGGTTCATTCTCACAAACAGTGAAAAGGGGACTTCTGGATGCTGAAAAAACATTTGTTGTGATAATTACGAAAATAGGGCATCTGTTATCACCTCCACCTTTCCTGTAAGTTTGATGCATATAATCAACAATTCTTTGTTTCAGTAAGGATAGAGGATTATACTGATCCTGAAGTAGACGACGATTGAGCAGACTGTGAACAGCCGGGCTCAAGTTCCACGTTGTGTCGGTTGGTATGCTTTTCCCATCTATCTGTGAATGCAAGGAGAAACAAAGTGAAGTGTTTATCACAAAAAACGGAAAAGAAAGTAAACATCCTTCTCTCGTAAACGAGCAATTTTAAGTGACTTCGCGCAAAATAATCCATCTTAAACCAATTTGCGAAAACAGCAGCTCTTACCTGATAAACCTCGGGCCGTTCACCCTTGTGAAGGATCTGTGGACATGGAACTGTGTTCTTTTGAGGAACCGCCGAAGAAGAACATGGAGCCGAGGCAGAGAATGTTCTTCCCAAATAAAGTCGGGATATTCGCACTATGA